GGAAGAAGAGCCAGGTCGACGAGGCGCTGTACTTCAAGGTCGGCGCTGACAATGCGTCCTGCTGGGTGCTGGTCTACGTCGACGACCTGCTCGCTGCCAGCAGCAGCACCAAGATGCTGAAGGAGCTGAAGGAGCTGCTGGAAGCCGCCTTCGAGTTGCGCGAGATCTCGCCGGTGCAGAAGTACCTCGGCCTGGAGATCGTGCGCGACAGGCCGGCGAGGAAGCTGTGGCTGCACCAGTAGGGCTACGCCGACAAGCTGCGTAGGGCGATTCATCGATGAGGAGCAGGGCGGTCGGACCCCGAAGACGCCGGTCTCCGTCAACGCCTACGCCGAGCTCACCTTCGACGACGAGGAGGCACAGGAGCGCCAGGAGGAGGAGTACAGGCAGAAGGTCGGCTCGCTGCAGTTCGCGGCGACGACGACGAGGCCGGACATCGCCTTTGCCTGCAGCAAGCTGGGGAGCGGCCTCACGGTGAGGAGCGACCAGCACTGGCGCGAGGTCGACCGCTGCCTTGCCTACCTCGCCAACACGCGTGACACCGCCCTAGAGTTCGGCGATGGTCCGAAGTCTCTGGAGTTGGTCGGCTACGTGGACGCCGACGACGCCGGCGACAGGTAGAACTGGACGAGCACGGGTGGCTACGTGTTCGTCTACGGAGGGGCCGCAGTCTCCTGGTCGAGCCAGCGCATCAAGTGCGCGACGTTGTCGTCGACCGAGTTGGAGTATGTAGCGGCCGTCGTAGCTGGCAAAGAGTGTCGCCGTCTTCGCTTCCTTCTTGCATAGTTCCGGCAGCTGGACGCCGGGAAGCCGACTGTCCTCCGGGTGGACAACAAGTCGGCCATTAAAGTCGCCGAGGGCATGGGGTTGACGGGCAACCTCAAGCACATGGAGCGACGACAGGCCTGGCTGCAGCACATGGTGAAGCGCGGGAAGTTTTCGCTGAAGTACATCCCGACCACCGAGTAGCCAGCAGACTTCCTCACAAAGGCGGCACTGCACTATCCGGCCTTCAACCGGTGCTCCGTCGCCATCGGCCAGGTGCGCTTGGCTAACGTGGGCGACGGCGAAAACGACGTGCAGTAGTAGGTGCCATGCCCTCTTGCATGGCTGGTGCGGTGGACGGCGTGCTGTGTGTTGGGTGCACATTGACGAGCTTTTCTCCGAGAAGTACTGCCGTGTGGGCTAGGGGCCCAAGCGTGAACGCGGCAGGGGAGTGTCAACGGAAGTTGTGTGTTGGCCCCGTCCTCGCTTGGGTGGAGCCGACTTCGTGGTCGGGTGTAGAGGTGTAGCCGACCTGCAGCAGTGGGCGAGCTGGTCGACGAGGAAGTCGACCTGCACGGGTGCCACTGCATGGGCGCCGACTTCAGGATGGCGCCGACTTCAGGGAGGTCGACATGGGAAGTTGACCTGCGGAGGGCGTCGACTTGGTGACGCCAACTTGGGGTAGCCGACATGGGTGGTCGGCTGACAACTGTGCTGGTCGACGAGGAGCTGGTCGACCAGGAGTGACGTCGGCTAGGAGCTGGTCGACCAGGGGTAGTGGTCGACTTGGTGAGGTCGACTGGAGGTGGCCGTCGACTTGGGAGGCCGATGGGCACATACAGGAGCAGCTGGTCGACATGGTTGCCCGGTCGACCAGGTTACCTGGGTGACGAGGTTCTGCGGAAGAGTGCGACGGTCGCCCAGGTGGTTTTGGCGAGACCGACCTTGGTGGTGGTATCCCGAGGTCGACGTGCTGATCAGATGTAGTCGTTAGCGCCAGGTTGACTTGGTGTGTGCGCTGTGCAGGTGACGAGGCACTGCACGCCAATCATCTGCGAGCACCTGCGAAGCGGATACACTGCTGTCCTGCGGGAGCAACGTTGGCATGATGTCGACCTGCGACGTTGGCACGCCGTCGACTTGCAGCATTGGCAAGTCGCGACTCTACACTGCTGGAGCGCGGTCGACCAAGTCGTGCTGGCACGCGGTCGACCGTGCTGCGCTGGCAGTAGACTTGCTTGCATGCTAGCTCTGATGTAGTCTAGTCTTGCCAACTTCATTGTACCATTGTTGTCAACCTTTCCTAGTGAAACCAATTCTCCTTGTAAACTAGCAAGTAGTGTGAGCACTTGGAAACGACTAAGGAACGAACGAACGCAGAGATCACTCCTACCCCGTGCCTAGCCCGTAGTCTAGCTCCCGTTGATAGAGTTATCTCCACACCTGGCGCCAACCACATGCGTACGACAGGGGACTAAGGTCAGCTGCAGATCGAATGCCAAACCCTCCGAGTCTGGCAGGAAGGTGCAGCTGTAGACGGGCCATCTGCGACTTTTCCGAATCGTGATCCCAGGTGCTATCTGGACTGCTCAAAACAATCCTTAAGCTTCGTGTCCCAGTCGCGGAAAGCCTCCACAACCTCGGGCCGAGGAGGCATCGTCCGTGTGAGGTAAATCGGGCGCGCTGACACTGCGATCGCCAGCAAATGGGACGCAATCTGTGGGTGGTCAAGCAGAGGAAGCCAAGGGACATGTGCATGCAGCTGCGTCAGCCGGCTTCGCAGGCTAGCCACCTCCCACTCCTCCTCCCCAATAGGAACCCCTAATACGGTGAGCCCCGTCCATGTCTGCTGCATGCCGGGCGGGACGGTCTCGTTCCTCTCCTCTCCCTCCTGGTCCACCCCTCGCTCCCATAGCTTGCACTTATGCGGCTGCACCTCCAGACCAAGCCCGTCCAATTGTTCACGCAAGACCTCATAGGCTGCTGACACCCGCTCCCTAGGCCCCAAGATGTACGTATCATCGGCGTAGCTGAGAAAGAGTAGGTAGGCGAATTCTTGTTTGGTTGGTTCCATAACCAGCTGCTGTGTGAACGCGAACAAAAACGACCCCAATGGGTCCCCTTGCCTCGAGCCCCGCTCGGAAGCCAAAGCTTTGACGAAGGGGCCCGCACGAAGGTAGAGGTCGCTAGAAGTGCCGTAGAAGATACGCAGAAATGGGATCAATCCCGCGCAAGGCGACTGTGGAAGACCTTCAAACATTTCCCGCCGATGGAAGGAGTTGAAAGCGTTCGCCACGTCAATTTGTAGCGGGCACCATGATAGGTGAGTAGAGATGGCAGAACGAAAGGCATGTGCGAGGACTTCCACTCCCGACCTGGACCCGACTCCAAACTGGTTACACGGAGCAAAGTGCGACATCATCTTCGGGCGAAGCACGATGCATATGGCCCGAGATAGTATGCGGGGGAGCACCTCGCCTATAGCCACCGGGCGAACGTCACCATTCGGCTTCGACAGGCCCACAAGGTTGGACGCAGTGAGCCAGGGTCGCACGCGCTCCGCAAGAAAAGTGTCGTGCAGGTGCTCAGTCACCCACCCCAACGGTCGTGGTGCCGACGCCCTAGTCGCAGAGTGGATCGCCTGACAAAGTACCTCCACTGAGAGCTGTGGGATAAGGGAAGGCTCAAATGTCTCCTCCTGCACCCACTCCAGAATGGCGGTCTTGCTCGATGGGTGTTTCGCTCGTAGCGCGTCCACCATGTGCTGAGAGGGCTGAGCGATGCTACCAGCCGTAAGGCACGCCAAACCCCGACTCCATTCTCCCACTTTGCACCTTGTGCGGCAGCGAGCCAGGCGCACTGCATCAGGGTCATCCTCAGGGGGGGGGGGGGGGGGGGGGGGGGAAAGGACAAAGGACGAGCCGCAGGTTGCATTGCAGCCACCGCCAACCAGCTCCCGCCACTCCCCAGCCCAAAACTTCTCCAACCGCTCCCTGATTGCCGCCCTGTGCCCCTGGCCTTGCCCATTTGGAATCTCCAAGATAAGACGAGGGAAGGCCAAAAACACCAAGGATGCCGCCTCGTCTGCTGCCTTTGACTAAAGCCGCTTCTGGACACAAGATATTGCATCAAGCACCCCCAGTCTTGCGCGCTGTGGGATGCGACGCATGATTCTCCCTGGCACCAATTCGATCCCAAAAAACGACTCCTAATCCCATGTGGGAACTGCGGCCCACACCTCTTCACTGATATCACGTGGTGGCGGGGGTTCGCCGTCCGAGTCGTCTGTGACGTCACGTGTCAACCCAAGCGCCTGAGCATGACTCTGGGCGTACGCTGCCCTGCAGGCCGACATATGGCGTGTGGCCTTTCCTCTCTCCGTGAAAGTGCGATAACAGGTTTCGCACGGGATGCGGGGCGGGGGTGTCAGTGTAGGGTCTGGGTGCTCCTCTCCACTCGAACACGCCGGCAAGACCCTTCTGCTCGACTCCGTCTCCATGCCCCCCTCTGGCAGCCTTGCAAGCTCCAGCCCTCCGCTCTGCAGTTGCTGCTGCCCTCCGCTCTGCAGCTGCTGCTGCCCTCCGCTCTGCAGCTGCTGCTGCCCTCCGCTCTGCAGCTGCTGCTGCCCTCCGCTCTGCAGTTGCTGCTGCCCTCCGCTCTGCAGTTGCTGCTGCCCTCCGCTCTGCAGCTGCTGCTGCCCTCCGCTCTGCAGCTGCTGCTGCCCTCCGCTCTGCAGCTGCTGCTGCCCTCCGCTCTGCAGCTGCTGCTGCCCTCCGCTCTGCAGCTGCTGCTGCCCTCCGCTCTGCAGCTGCTGCTGCCCTCCGCTCTGCAGCTGCTGCTGCCCTCCGCTCTGCAGCTGCTGCTGCCCTCCGCTCTGCAGCTGCTGCTGCCCTCCGCTCTGCAGCTGCTGCTGCCCTCCGCTCTGCAGCTGCTGCTGCCCTCCGCTCTGCAGCTGCTGCTGCCCTCCGCTCTGCAGCTGCTGCTGCCCTCCGCTCTGCAGCTGCTGCTGCCCTCCGCTCTGCAGCTGCTGCTGCCCTCCGCTCTGCAGCTGCTGCTGCCCTCCGCTCTGCAGCTCCTGCTGCCCTCCACTCTGCAGCTGCTGCTGCCCTCCGCTCTGCAGCTGCTGCAGTTTGGTTGCCTGTCGCCTCCGGCCCCGGCCCCGCGCTCGGGGCCTTTCCGCTTGGTCCGAGGAATCAGGGTTGGCATTCTCCCCCTCCATGGGGCTTGATTCCAGCTCATCGGTGCAAGCCTCGTCCACCATCTCCATATCCAACACCCATACTGGCTCTTGCTGCCCTCCACTCTGCAGCTCCTGCTGCCCTCCACTCTGCAGCTCCTGCTGCCCTCCACTCTGCAGCTCCTGCTGCCCTCCACTCTGCAGCTCCTGCTGCTCTCCACTCCGCAGCTCTTGCTGCTCTCGGCTCTGCAGCTCCTGCTGCCCTCCACTCTGCAGCTCCTGCTGCCCTCCACTCTGCAGCTGCTGCTGCCCTCCGCTCTGGAGCTGCTGCTCCTGCCCTCCACTCTGCAGCTGCTGCTGCCCTCCGCTCTGCAGTTGCTGCTGCCCTCCGCTCTGCAGCTCCTGCTGCCCTCCGCTCTGCAGCTCCTGCTGCCCTCCGCTCTGCAGCTGCTGCTGCCCTCCGCTCTGCAGCTGCTGCTGCCCTCCGCTCTGCAGCTGCTGCTGCCCTTCGCTCTGCAGCTGCTGCAGCTGATGGCCTCAGCTTCAGATTCAGGGTCTGTAGGCTGATTTTCCAGACATGTTGATTAGGTGTGGGCTGATTTGTCAGGCTTTTTGTTTTTAAAAATGTATGGGCTGATATTTCAGCAATTGTTTTAGTGTAAGGGCTGAAAATTCAGCGATTTTTTACAAGTGTACACTGATTGATCAGCGTACTAACGATGGTATAGGTTGAATTCGTGCAATTACAGATTCGTGTAGGTGCAAGTTTTGGGTGTCTAGGTACATTCCCCGTCAATCACGCCACAAGTGCCATCTACAGCGCTGATGCAGCGGGAAATCAAATATTCTGAAGCCTCGGTTGCATTGTTGTCGCCGCTAGACTGCATCGAGTGATGTGATTGGCTGTTTCATCAATCACATCACTTTATAGCCAATACAATTAGAGCTGACACTGTTTGATGCAGCACAACAACGTACCGCGTGCCCCCACGACATGTACCCCCAGCTCACCCCACCTCACCCACCCCGAACGTGCGACCAAGTACGTGCATGCTGCTGGTGGTCGCGTCGCGTTGCAGTTGGGTGGTGAGAATGAGAGAGGGACCCTTCTTTCTTTTACATAGCCCTCCAAGAACCCTACCGTACCTACCCACCCACCAAGCGAGCTGCACTCACATTCCCCACCACCTGCCCAGTTTCTTTCTCTACCCCGTATCCTCAGAGCTCGGCACGCTCTCGCCGTTCAGCCATGGATGGCTGTGACGAAGCCTTGGCTGGCGACGATGATGCTTTAGAAGGCCCCGAAGTAGATGGCCGAGATGAAGCCAGGACGGGCCTTGACATGCTACTGCGCTCGCTAGGTGGTGGTTTTAAAGCACCGAGGCCGGCCCCAGCAAAGCCTGCTCGACTCAAAACTGACGTCTACCCACCCGTGTGCTCGAGCCCGGATTCTATCCGGGCTGAACCTGCTACGCCTGCTGCTGTTTCCGCCGACATCGAAGTCTTCTGCACCGCGCCCTTGCAAGCTCAAGCAGTCAACGCTGACTTGGGCAAGGCCGTCCTCCAGCGCCGCAGTAGCAACCTATCATGAACAACACCACCCCTCGCCCGACCTTAGATATTAACATTTCTGAGCTGGTCGGTGCAATCCATGCAGACGCCTTCGAGAAGTACAAGTCGAAGTGGTCCGAGTGTTTCCCGTGGCTTGTTTAATAAAGACCGTGTCTGGTTTTCCTGCTTTCAAACGCAGTGTGTGCACAAAACATGCTGGAGTCAGGGGACGATGTGGCAGGACTGGGGGAGGGGCGATCGACGGGCAGACTCAGGCGTTTCGCAAGCACGCCGGTACGTCGAAACACAGGTTGGCCATGGAGAAGCAGGAGGCATTGCTGTACGCGACGTCCTAGCAGCGGCGGATCGACGAACATCGTGCCGCCGTCGACGCAGAGAAGATTCGTGTCATTGCGCTTGTTGACGCCATGCTCTTCATCAGTTGGTGCGATACAGCCATGGGCACCTGGGTGAAGTTGGTCCAGTACCTCGCACGGAAGGGTGTTCAAGGCTTTCCGAAGAAGGGCTACGGGACGTACTACACCACGTGAGTCTGAGTATTGGGTTTTGGGTTTTAAACATTCCTTGTTTAATTATATTGATGTTATTGTGTGTTTTCCTGACAGGTACGCGAGCTCACCCAGGCGATTGCCACGTGGCTACAGACCACACAGCTCGAACACATACTTACAAGCCCCTTCATCGGCATTGGCGTCAACGAGAGCACCGATCGGCGCAAGGGGAAGCACATGATTATACACGCGACATTCATCCGCACAACGTCCTCGTGACCGAGTTCATGCAGTTTATGGCTATGGATAAGGCAGACATGTCTTCTCTTCTCAGCATCCTCCTTTCCCACTTGCACGCAGTCGGTGTCGATCTGCAGAGGATTTCCGGCATTAGCACCGACGGCGCAAGAGTGATGATGGGGACGAAGGCCGGCGTGGTTGTCCGCCTGCGTCAGAAAATCTCGCACCTCGTCTCCTGTCACTACATCGCTCACAGGTTAGTGCACGGTTTTGTCTATATCCTGTTACTTTAATGTGTTTGCCACTTTGCTCATGGTTTTTATTGTTGTGTTTCACTTGCAGGGAGGCTCTTGCAACAAAGGATGCGGCAGAGGAGCTCCCCGTCTTCGACATGGTCGACGATCGTATCCGAATGTGTCAGAGTTGCTGGGACGGTCGGGTCCGTGCCACGCACGGTTCATGGACCTGCAATAGCTATTTACCGAAACGAGACTTGAAGTCCAAGGCTTCCACGAGATTCGGTGGCTGTCACGAGGGGATGCCGCCCATCGTCTCATCTCTGTTTTTGCCGGCAGTGATTGTGATGCTGAAAGAGCTTCTACCGTTTTCACTTCTTCCTTTACTTCCTGGCTGATGTGCTTGAGCAGCTTAATATATCTTGAACAAGACCTTCTATTAGAGACAAGTGAGGTGTTCTTAAGATTTCTACGCATGTGGTTTTTACTCCAGGTTTCTAACTATGTCTTTGTGAGCCTTTCGTCTGTCCAGCTCGATCTGGTGTCTTTGCATGCGCAGATCAAGTGGACAACCAATCACATCGAGAGCCTCTACGTGGACTGCGGCGATGACTTTGGCGGTGGCATGAGCCAGTGGCTGTCACCTTTCCTGGAGTGCCATGGCCGGGGTGTAACCGCGAAGTGACCGTAGAGGGAGTCGACAGCGACGACCGACCAGCTTCTTTCACCTTCACTCTTTACGACGACCCCGTGGATTCATATAGCCCCAGAGGACCATGACGGTTGCATCGAGATGTGCACAGAGTTCGCGGAGCAGATAGTGGCCAACCTGAAGGGAAGGCTCGGTGACCTCAACTTGCTCACTGGAGTCCGCCTGTTCATGCCTGATGCCTGGCCATAAAGCAAGTCGGAGTAGAATGCTCAATGCCAGGAATGGCTTAACTCGTTGGTGACGATGTTCAAGGCACAACACCGCGAGGAGATCCTACCAGGTACGTTTTGGGTAACCAGGACTGTTAAGCCTTCACCCCGATGTTTGATTAGCCATTACGCTGTATGTTCACTTGCCTCTTTGTCTGAATCTCCCTCTATCCTCTAGGCATCAACAAGAGGCAGACAGGCAAGGAGCTTCGACTGTTCTGTTCAGTCCTTACAGGTGCCTCAAAGGGAGAGAGAAGCTTCCACAGTGGACTGACGGCGATGCTGAAGACTCCCGACTGGCGGGAGAGTTACCCCAACCTTGTGTAGCTCTGGGTGGCAGTGGCTTTCATTCCCCTCAGCACAGTGGAGTGTGAAAGGGGATTTTCTTGGCAAAACGTGATCAAGAGATGGCTGCGAGGGGGGATCAAGGACGCTAGGCTGGGGGACCTCATGTGTATGTCCCTGATGTAATATGAGCCTAACTACGATGGGGTAGTTGAGATATGGCGGAGTTACAAGAAGCGGAAGCCTTTCAGCAATGCCCCCATCTGTATCCCAACCCCAGGCAACACCAGCAAGAAGGGCAAGCATCAGGAGGAGATAGATGTAGATGACGAGGAGGAGCTAGTAGGTGATGTGCTCAAGTGTTCTAGTGATGAAGATGATGAAATGAGCTGCTAAGTCCTTGTAATGTTGCCTTGTTAGTTTAACTTGATGAAACTTAATGAAAAAAAAAAAAGGCTTTAGCTTTGTTCAACCTTAGCTTTTTAGTGAGGGTATGATTAGTCAGCGTTTTTTTTGGGGATAACACTGATCTTTCAGGTTTTTTTTTTTTAATATATATATCCACATTAATTTTATTTTATTTCGGTTCAACTCTGATTGATCAGCCTTGCATAGCCTGGTAAGGCTGACGTTTCAGCCTAGGAAAAAACGAATCTGAGGCCCTGTTGCCCACTCTAAATGAGCTAGTGCGATAGTGGTTGGTTCGAAGTCTCATTGTGAGACATTGCACCGTAGGGACCTTAAAAAATATAGTAATATCTTCGTTGTTTCCAACACCTCCCTTCATCTTAGAAGGTGAGCCACGTGGGGAACTTCTGACGTGGCATTTTCTTCGTCAAGAAATCTGTTGCCATCTCGCCGGTTGGGTACTAGGTAAGTTTGACTTTGCATATATCGATCTCGTCCTTTACGAAGAAGTAACGGAGGGCGGCGTGTTTCGTAGGGTTAATAAAATAAGGCTTGTTCGTAATTTGATAGCCCTTTAGTTGTCCTAGAGTAGCTTGAAGGACCAGTCCATCGTGGTCTTCGCTTCCTGCAGAAGTTCCATCAGGCAAAGTTCTTCGCAAACAGCTGCGCCTCGTCAATAAATTCGGCTTCAGCTAACGAAAGAACAATAGTTCCAAATCCTATGATTTCCAAGAGATGGGTTTAACAGGTTCGAGTTGAAAAATGAATTCAGTGCGGGCGTATCTATTGTCAATGTCTTGAGCATTATTAGCGTCTTGAGGCGTTATTATAAATGCATTCTCTTAGCCTATAACTCTCCATTGATTTATTTTTCCAAGGCTTTAAAACCATGAGAAGTATTATTATAAGTGAAAGTGTCTTTCAAGAAAATTGTTAATGAATTCTTACTTGTTGGGTATACTACTGTAGTTTCCCGGTAGGTGCAGGGTCTTGTTTCGCGGATTCTCCTTTTCCCTCGGCAATTTCCCCTGATGCCAACTGCATAACGCTCAAGACATTGACAATAGATACGCTTATAACAACGATGCAAAACTCGCTGAAGCACTATGCCGATCGACAGAGACGTGGTCACTTAGTAGCAGGAGATGACCGAGTTCTTTATACATGAGTACAACTTGAACTTGGCTCATCTACCGTCCAAGCTCCAGCCTCGCTTCTGCGGTCCTATTCGAGTTGCCTTTTTTTCTGCTTGTGTTGCGTGGGTCTGGGCGGCTTGCAAAATCTCGGCAAATTGCTGCGTCTTGGGCACTGTAGGGTTCTGCCTATAATTAAGGTAAAATAATGACTGTTGCATCGTCGCTGATGCGGCTTTGTTGTATGTGACCTCTGTAAGAGTACGACGCTTGTTCTTGTTGGTGCAACCCTATAGTTTGCACTCGGCTTGATGTTTGTGCGTGCATGCATGTGTGCATGGAATGGTATGAGGGCATGAGATAATATATATATTTCATGCTTATAATAGTGTGTGAATGATGAGTCATGATGTCGAATGTGTGTGTCGAGTCAATAACGAGTTATCGCTAGTCGCATGACTCGTCGTCGTTTGTGTGCCGTGTGCGATTTCTATTTTGCCGTGTGTCGAACATTCGGCGTGTCGCAGGTGTGTACAGCGGTCCTTTCAAGAACTCAAGGATGCGTTTACGGTGAAGAACCAGAGCCTTGGTTTCAAGATTCAAGTGATTTGTAAGCTTGCCAAAAGGTTGAACTCCAAGATAGTGAGAATAGTTACATTACAATGTGTAGTCTAACATTTCTCTTGGTATAAGCCCTTGTGGAGGGTAGTTTCGAGACCCTTCGTGGTTGGGGACAGTGTGGCACTGTTCCACATCACTGTACCTC